GAGTGCCAGTAATACTACAAGGGCGAGGGCTACTATTACTACTGCTGCTACTACTACTACGACTAGTAGCACTACCTTAATTTCGACTTTTAGTTCTACGCCCACTACGGCTATTATGAGTTTACCGCTATTACTACTACGACCACTACAACTACCACTACTATTGATACCACCTCTGTTACGACGACTGCTGCTCTTATTTCTATTATTACGACAGGTTATTTTTACTCCTACTACCACAGCCACTACAAGTTTACCACTAAGTCTAATGCTGCGGCTACTACTATTACTGCTACTACTACTGCGACTACGACTACTACGACTACGACTACGAATTGTATCTATAGTTATATTGTTTTTATTACTAGTACGACCAATACGACCACCACTACTACTACTACTACTACTACTACTACTACTAATACTACGACTACTGCTACGACGACTACCACGACGACTACTATTACTACTACTACTACTACTATTACCACTACTACAACGACCACTACTACGAGTACTTTGCCTACTCCTATCATTATTTCAACTACGTCTACTACTGCGGCTACTACTGCTACACATGTGACTATCACCACGACGACTACTATTACGACTACTGCTAGAAGTACTCTTGCTGCTACTACCACTTCAACCACTACGACGACCAAAATTGTTAGTATTACTATCGCTACTACTACTACTACTACTACTACTACTACTACTACTAGTACTACGAGTATTACGACTGCGGCTACTATTACTACTACTACTACGACGACTACTACTACTACTACTACTACGACTGCTACTTTACTACCACTATTACTACGACTACTAGTACGATTTCGACTACCACTATTGCTACTGCTACTGTTACTGCTACTACACTACTTTACTGCTACTGCTACTGTTACTGCTACTGCTACCTACCACTACGACTACTACTACGACTAGTACTATTAGTACTACTATTACGACTACTTCGACTAGTACGACTACTATCACTAGTACCATTAGTACTAGTATTTCTACTACTACTACCACTACTACTACCACCACCACCACCACTACGACTACTACTACTACTACTACTACTACTACTACTACTACTGTTACTAAAACTATTTTTATTACTACTACTACTATCGCTACTATCACTACTACTCCTACTACTACTACTACTACTACTACTACTACTATTACTACTACTACTACTACTACTACTACTACTACTACTACGACTACTACTACTACTACTACTTCTACTACTACTACTACTACTACCACTACTACTACTACTACGATGACTACTAGTATGGCGAGTATTATTATCACTGCAGCTATAATAATAATAATAATAATTAGTAGTATTAGTATTACTATTATTACTACTACTACTACTACTACTACTACTACTACCCCTTCTCCTCCTCCTTGTTGCGGATGCGGAGACGTCTCGGGTGGGGCGGGGGGGCAAGGGGGCAGGGAGGTGGAGTAGGAGGCGGTGGAGAAAAGGCAGGAGGAGCTGGAGAAGGAGGAGGAGGAGAAGGAGGAAAAGGAGGAACATCAGTTGGAGAAGGAGGAGGAGGAGGAGGAGGAGAAGGAGGAAGGGGAGAAGTAGAAGGAGGTGGAGGAGGAGAAGGAGGAGGAGGAGGAGGAGGAGGAGGAGGAGTTGGAGGAGGTGGGGGTGCGAGGGGGCTGCAGTATCCAGAGGAGGGCGCGGGGCACACAAGCACCTCAGGCCCTCCCCCCAGCCCCAGCACGGTGAGGACCAGCAGGAGGAGGAGGATGGGGGCGAAGAGAGGGCACACGCGGAGGGGCAGCAGGAGCTGGAGCAGGATGCCAGAGGTGGCGGGACGAGAGGAGGAGTGCGAAGGGGCGAGACGAAGAAGAGGTGGAGGAGGGGGAGGAAGGGCAGCAGGGCGTGGAGGAAGGCGGGAGGAGGAGGAGGAGAAGGTTGGAGGTGAGGCGAGAGGAGAAGGAGGCAGGAGAGGATCAGGCGGACGAGGAGCATGAGGACGGAGGAGCAGGAGGACGGTCAGCTGACTCCTGACGGGCGGCCTGGGTCAGCGAAAGCTGCAGCATTGTGAGAGAAGAGCCCGTCGTCGCAGCACTCGGCCTGATTCGTCCCGCAGCCGATCTTGGAGGAGAACCTCTCCCGGATGGGGGGCGGAGGGCGAGGATGAGCAGGAGGAAGAGGAGAAGGAGGAGGAATAGGACTGGGAGGAATGCAGGAGGAGGGGAAGAAGGAGGAGACGGGAGGGGCAGGAAGCAGGAGGAGCAGGAGGAGCAGGAGGAGGAGGACGGAGAATCAGGAACAGGAATACCAGCAGGGGGACGAAGACGAGGAGTTGGAACATGAGCTCCCTTGACGTCGCGCTCGTTTCACACCGTGGGCTCCCTCGAGGTGTACACCCGTTCCCCGAGGCTGGTTTCCCATCACGGCTCGCTCGTTGGGACAGCCAGCACCACAACGGAGTGAATTTGTGTGGAGGGCCCCTCGGGGGAGAAGCCGCCGACCTCGGCACGAACACTTTGGATGTGGTCGTGGTCGATGTGGCCGTCCTGGGACTCCCACATCGACCACAACCAGCACTCGGCTGGTGTTGGCATATGCGCAAGAAGTTCTCCAGTGCGTGTCCTCGGTGTGGCGTGTGGTAGCTCGCTGTCCCCTCAGATGCGGCGCGGTCCTCCGACCCCCGTCTGCTCTGGCCGCTCTTTTTTGGGGCCTGGGCTCCTGGAGCAGGGGATCGAAGCAGCAGTCGTCTCATGGCCATGCGTTCGGGATGTTTTGCTCAGCGTGTTGCGGTGCCAGTTCTGGCCCACCACGCTTCGATGCGACACGCCATCCACGTCCCAGCCCCCGAGCGCCAACGTCCCGAGCATGAGCGACACGCCATCCGCTTGGTGCGGAGAGCTCGTCACGGAGGCCGCCGCCGCGACATGCTGAGCAAAAGCTCCTTGCCGTAGATTTTCGGAGGTCCGCGCGGATTTCTTGGACAGGTGCTGGATCCCCCTCCCTGGCGCGTGAGGCGCGGCAGGGGTGGCGCAGGAGGCGCCGCGGAGGGGTCAGCGCCGATCCCAGAAATCCACGCGGACCTTCGAAAGTTGCTCTTTGTGCAGTGCTTCCCCCCCCCCCTGCGGGATGCAGTCGGCCCGGATTAGTAGGTCGACTCCGCCAAATCAAGGGTACCCTTGTGTCCTGCAGCTCGCGACCCATGCCTCCTGCATTCCTGTGGCAACGTGGCCCTCGGAAGGGTCTCCTGTCCCCTCGCGTGTAATCTCCAATCAGGTCCGACTGTAGGGCAAGCCCCTCCCGGAGGCATCACACCAGCGCCGCGCAGGGCTGGGCTCCTGCCTGGCAGAGGGTGCCCGCCTGTCCCCAGAGCTCCGAAGTTGCGAGTGTGTTCGCAGCCTCGACCCTCAGAGGTCTCCGCCCGGGGACTCTTGCTCCGCGGGTCGCGCCGGAGGCGCGGCGGGCGGTCGGCGCGCGGCGGGCGGGCGGATCGGCATGGCATCGACGCCCTGCTGCTGCTCCCCTGCAGCGGGCTGCTGTGAAGCACTGGGCCTTGGGCTGGGCACGGAGGCCGTCGGGCTCCAGTGGTGCTGGAGTTGGCTGCGGAGGAGGAGGGGGAGGAGGAGGAGGAGGGGGAGGAGGAGGAGCAGGAGGAGGAGGAGGAGGAGGAGGAGGAGGAGCAGGAGGAGGAGGAGCAGGAGGAGGAGGAGGAGGAGGAGGAGCAGGAGGGGGAGGAGGAGGGGGAGCGGGAGCGGGGGCGGGGGCGGGCGGCGGGGCTCGGTCGGCGGGCTCCCCACGCCTCGGCGCGAGCAGCCGCGCCGCAGCCGCCCCCCCGCCCCCCCAGGGCGTCGACGTCCCAGGCGCCTCGTGGGCCCCACGCCCCGCGGGGAGCCGAGCGGCACGCTCTTCGCTTGGCGCGGCACGGCGTGTCGCCGGGGCCGCCGCCCGCAGGCGTGCCGAGCAGAGGCGCCCGCCCGCAGAGCCCCTCCCGCGGGGCTGGTGCTCCTCTGCGAGCGGCTTTTTACGCTGCGGGTGGCCGGTGGAGACCCCCAGCAGGCCGGGTGCGGCCAAACAGCCGTGCGTCGTGACTTTTCGGGAGGGGGCAGGGGGAGTGACTGCTTGCCCGTCTGACCCAGCTCGACCCCTCCGAGAGGTCGTGGTCTCATACGGGGGTCCTTGGCCCAAGGTGCCCCCAGGGGTTTCGGGGAAGCCCAGATAGCTCTCAGGGCACCCCTTCGGATGCCCAGACGGCCACAGGGGCTCCAACAGGGCTCGAAACGAACAACTTGGGCCAGGATCACCTCTGGTAACCCCCTCCGTCTGCCTGCCTGCCTGTCTGTCTGTCTCTCTCTGTCTGTCTCTGTCCGTCTTGCCCCTCTCGGAGGCCGCATTTCACGACGATCCCCTCGAGGTCCAGACCCCTTCCCAAGGACCAGCTGTTCTTGTTAAGTCCCGAGAAGGTGTTGGCGGTCCCAGGGCCCAGCGTGTGCCCGCGAGGGCCCAGAATTGCTGACAGTCTCTCGCCGTGGTCGTCGCACAACGAGCGGAGGTGGGCGGATGATGCCTTTGGGTCTGTCGGAACCCCCTCCCGAACGGGAGCTTGGACTTTGCGCTGTCCGTCCGTCCGTCCGCGCTCCTGGAATGAAACAAACGCCTGGATTGAAGAATCGGATCGCCAGATATCTGGGTCCGTCTGTTGCATTTCGGGCACAACAAAGGACCACAGCCTGATCCAAGTGGATTTTTCGGGAGGACCTCCGGGGGAGAACCCACCCGCCTCGACGTGAGCACTTCGGTTGTGGTTGTGCTCGACTTGACCGTCCTGGGACGCCACATCGAGCACAACCAGTATCAAGCTGCTTTCGGTGTTCCGACAACTCTTGGGATGCGCAAGACATTCCACAGAGTGTGTCCTCGATGTGGCGTGTGGTCGCTTGCTATCCCCGCATGCCTCGACGCCTCCCGGAGGTCGTGGTCCCAGCGGAAGGTCCACTGGTGCTGCCGCAACGGCGACCGCGCGGTCCGGCTGCAGCTCGAGCGGGGCGCGAGCTGCCCGGGCGCGCCCTCCGAGGACGCCGCGCACCCGCCGCCGGTCGGCGACGGCAGTCGGTCACCAGCCTCGAACTTGTCCCTATCCCTAAGATTGACACGCCAGAAGGCGATGGCAATCTCAGGGATGCACCCTCAGAAACTGAGGGAATCCCTAAGATCGCCATCGTGATCAGGCGATGCCCAACATGGGGATAAGGGTATGTTCCAGGCTGGTACGTCGGCGTCGTCGCCTCGAGAAGTAGCACGAGCACAAGCCAGGTTCGCGTGGTGTCCACCGGCGGCGACCCCGCCGCCTGCCTTCCGCGTTGAGCGCTGCTGGCGATCCAGAATCGGTCGATGGTGAACGATCTGAGGTTCCCGAGACGGCCGATTGTTCTAGGCTGAGCCATGCTCGAAGTGTCAGGAGCGAGTGCCAGGGTCGGCACGACGCGAACTTGCCGTAAACATAGGCTTGCGCACATCCGCGCGTATTTCTCGTATCGGCGATGGCGGCGCCGCCGGCCTCGCCACTGGCGCGCTCCGCGCGCAGGGGGGGGGGGATCCAGCGCAGATGCAACAGATCCGCGCAGCCCAACGAAAGTTTATCGATGTGTAGTTCCTCTGTTTTTCCTCCTCGTATGCGTCGTAGTCACCGTCGTCGTCGTCGTCATCGTCGTCGTCGTCGTCGACGTCATCGTCGTCTCGGAGGGCCTTCCGCCCGCAACCTGATGTCGCGCGACTGTCCGAACATTTTTGCTGAGGTCCACCGTCAAACCGCATCGCAAGGATTAGTAGGTCTCCATGAGAGCCCTTGCATTACTAGGGGAACCAACAATGACATAAACATCAAAGCTCGGAGGTCCGCGCGGATTTCTCAGATCGGCGCTCGACCCCCCTCCCTGGCGCGCAGAGCGCGCCAGGGGCGGCGCCGGAGGCGCCGCCACGAGGGTTCCAGCGCCGATCCGACACAGCCGCGCGGACCTCCGAGTTGTTATGTTTATGTCATTGTTCGGTCTCATTGCATCCTGCCCCCTCTGCTCATCCTAGTCGTTAGCCCTCGGTCCGTTGGCCACGCAGGGGCCCCCACAAATGCGGTTGCCGCTCAGGCGCCCAAGGGCCTTGTGTCCTCGCGGCACAGCCCTGTGATTCGGTCGCGCTGTCATCGCCAGCTCGGCGCCCCCTCACACAGGGACCCCCGCGGATGACATTGCGGGTCAGGGGGGGGGACAGTGCCCCATTCCTCTCCCTCCTCCTCCTCCTCCTCCTCCTTGCAGAGGGCACGCCAAATAGGAGCTTGGCTCTGCCAGCGGGCGCCCTGCAGTAGTCTCTTGCCTCTCGATGGGCCCACAGAGCCACCAGCGCACATTACGAAACTTAGCGTCAACGAAAGATGTGTCCCTAGATGTATGAATGTGCCCCTAGATGTGCCAAAAGATGTGGATCATCCTCCTGTTCACCCATTGGCATGTTACTCATCCTCCAGCCTTCCGTCGTCCCCATCGCCCTTGTCCACATATGCCTGTCATTGTCACGTGAGAGTGTCCTCATCCTTCGTTTCCTCCCTCCTCGGCTCAGGATGTTCAGTTCGAGGCATCGCTTGGCAGTTCCGTCGACATACCCGCTCGACTTACCTGCTTCAGCCAGGTAGTTGCGATGCCTCCCGGAAAGGTGACCGACGCATTCGTGACAGCGGCATTCGTTGCTTTGGGCGTCTACGTTTTGGGCGCCCTCGACAAGCATCCCATGCCCTATTTTGGAAAAGATGGCGTGATGGACCTCGGGCTGCCTGATCTTAAGTTCTGGTCTCCACCGCATGCTGCAATCGCAGTGATTATGTTCACAGCAAACCGCTACCCTGACCTTGTGAACACCGTCAAGGCGATCGTTGCGAGCATTGCGGCTTCGATTGTTACCGTTGAATTTGGCGAGCCTTTCATCACGGACCAGGTGCTTCTCCGAGCGGTCGCGGCGGGGGCCGCGATGTTCGCAGCGAAGACCGTGGGAGCGGTGTTTGCGCCGGCGGAGGCCATCGCGATTCTTTTTGTCGATAACGCGGCCCTGAGGTCGAACATGGGGAGGTGGTATATTTTGATGCCCGGACTCAGCGGGACGTTGGTGTTGATGTTGCTGGCGTCCATCAAAATAGCAGTCAGCGTGCCTTTGAGACGCAAGGCGGAGTGAGCTCCAGCGCCAGCTGGGCGATGCCGTCGGACTTCTAACAACTCCTGATTCTGCGCGTACACCCACCATGAAAGAGGCGTCTCCTTGGTGATTCGCAGAGAGGAGCGAAGCGAAAGAGCATTAGTGACGTAAGTATGGGGACACCAGTCAAATCAGCGAAGGGGTCAACTCAATCAGATCAACGGGCTTCAGAAGCCTTTTGGGGCCACGTTGGGTTGTATTGAGACTCTTTGGGAAATCCTTGGTGCCCATTTGTGACTCTCTTGGGTGCCCTTTTGGAGCGGCGCTTTCGTGGCCGTCTAGTGGGTAGTTTGGCCCCCGCTCCCTTTTTCTAGGTGGGGGGGTCACATTTGTTTATGTTTCGGTTTGTCGACCAGGGCTTAGGCGTCCTGTTGCTTCCCATCTGTCGCGTGGTCATTGGGGCCGCATAAGCCCGTCGGAAACCGACAAGGCGATAGCACCACAATCATTGAACTGCTTCTTGCGCTAGAGAGCCGGCAGGCTTACCAACCGACGCGCAGGGCGAGTGGGATTCGCTGCAGCCTGTGCGAGCTCTGCACATCCGCGCAGGGGAGCGTCCATTAGGTCTGGCCAAGTTCGGCGAAGCCTCTCGCGCGCTCCAGGCCTTCCCGGTAGCCATACCTCTCACGATCTTTTCGAGAGGCTTCGCGGCCCGTCTCCAGCGTGCTGGGCGATACGTGCACGGCAGTCTTCCGAGGCCCTGGCGCGGGCGACCCCCGCCCAGCTGCGGCCGTGCAGCAGCAGTCTTGCCGAGCAGCTTCATCGGCCGGTGACGAAAAGACCGCGGCCAGCCTGCCGCTCGCACCGCGGGGTTCCAGAAGAGACCCCCTGGGAGAGGGACTTCTGCGACGGGCGGTGCCGATTTCTCAAGTGCAGGCGGCCTTGCCCGCAGGGTCGTCGCATGACGCTTTCACTTGCACTTCGACTTCTCAAATGCACCGCCGCGGTCTCAGAGGTCCCTTTCGCCTGCGTCCCTTTCGGTGACGCAGCATCGCAGGCTATCCTCCTCGGTGCGGCTCGGAAGCGGGACGTGTTAGCGGGTGTCTTCGGGGCCTTTGCGGGCCTCCAGGGGGTGCCTCGGGGGCCGTTTCGGGGCTCTTTTCGGGGCCTCTTTGGTAGTCTTTTGAGCCTCTTCGGCCCTCGGCGGCCTGGAGTGACGAGAATGCTGGGACATGTTTGGGTCATGTCAGACATACGGGTAAGTAGGTATTTGCGCTTCCTGGGCAGTTTTGCACAATCTTGGCCGTCTTGGGGCCCTCTTGGGCCGTCTCGGAGCATCCGTCGGTCCTTTTTTGATGGTCTTAGGGCGCCTTGCAGCCGTTACGGGACGGCTGCGGGCTGTGTTGCAGCCGTCTTTGAAGACGAGCAGGGCGTTGGAAAGTAGTTTCAGAGAGAGGGGTGAGTTTTGATCCCGCGCGCGTCGAGGAGGGGGGGTCGGCCCTCGAATTAGGTCGGGCATGTCTTCCTACAGGCGGATTTTGAAAGAACCATAAGCATTAGCCCCAGAACATGTAAACATATTCCCGAACAGTCCAACAACTATAAAGAATCGTCCCCGGACCTTTGTTTATTTTCTATATGTGAATATTTCTCTTGCAGGGGGACATGCCCGACTTAACCTTAGAAACAATAAAGAACTTGCCAGGCAAGAACCAGGTTTCCTACCACGCCCCCAGCGTGGTGCTGGCACGATGGCGCATCACCGGCGCTTCCTATTCTTCCCGCCGGGTGACGGCACCGTCGCAAATGCTCGCACAGACAATAACTGCCGAAATAGTCCCAAGTCGGGCATGTCCCTACAGGGGGAATGTTCAAGAACAGGCAGAACATCGTTTGGGGACGATTTTTCAATTATTTTCTAAGAAGCCGCTCGAGGCGCAAAGTTCTTGTGCCGGAGCGCCTTACTTTGCTTTGGGGCAGAAGAACTAATATGGTTGCTGATGTTCCCTCGCACCCCACCTCCCTTTCCGCCGCAGCCGGACTTGACGTAGCAGCGCTTTTCGTCCCAGCCTTGGATGCGGCGACTCAAGGGGCAAGACGACGACGACGACAAGGAAGTCGAGGGCGAGGACGAAGACGACGGCCACGACCAAGCAGACTTGCCAGACGGCCCAGTCAGACCGGCCAGGTAGACCAACCGCAACAGCCAGGTAAAGTAATCATACCAACCAGACCAGCCAGCCGTTCAGACCATCCTCGCCTGGATCCCAAGCCAAGGCTGCAAGACGAAGCTCAAACCAGACCAACCAGACCAGATGCAACAAGAAACTGCAATCAACTGCATTTCGGTCGTCGTCGTCGTGGTTGGCGCTGCCTCGCTGGACCTCCCCTAAACCACTCTCGCCCGGATCCTAAGCTAAGGTTACAAGACAAAACTCAAACCAGACCAGCCAGAGCAGATACAAAACGAATTGCAATGCAAACAAAATTGCAAGGCAAAAAAGACTGCAATGCACAACAATCTGCATTTCGGTCGTCGTCGTCGTTGTTGTTGGCGCTGCCTCGCTGGACCTCCCCTAAACCACTCGCTCGTATCCTAAGCTAAGGCTGCAGGGCGAAGCTCAAACCAGACCAACCAGACCAGTCAGACCAGATGCAACAAAAAGATTGCAATGCAATGCGAAACAAACTGCATTTCGGTCGTTGTGGTGGTTGGCGCTGCCTCGCCGGACCTCCCCTAAACCACTCTCGCTCGGATCCTAAGCCAGGGCTGCAAGACGAAGCTCAAACCAGACCAACCAGACCAGCTAAACCAGATGCAAAAGAAACTGCAATGCAAAAAAATCTGCACAGCAAAAAAGGACTGCAATGCACAAAACACTGCATTCCGGTCGTCGTGGTGGTCGTTAGCGTTGCCTCGCCGGACCTCCCCTAAACCACTCTCGCTCGGATCCTAAGCTAAGGTTGCAAGACGAAGCTCAAACCAGACCAGCCAGACCAGCCAGACCAGATACACAAACAAATTGCAATGCAAAAGCAACTGCACAGCAAAACAGGACTGCAATGCAAAACAAACTGCATGTTTGTCGTCGTGGTGGTTGGCGCTGCCTCGCTGGACCTCCCCTAAACCACTCTCGCCCGGATCCCTAGCTAAGGCTGCAAGACGAGGCTCAAACCAGACCAACCACCCAGACCAGCCAGACCAGATGCAACAAAAATGCAATGCAACAAAACATTGCATGTCGGTCGTGGTGTTGGTTGGCGCTGCCTCGCCAGACCTCTCCGAAACCACTCTCGCTCGAATCCTAATCTAAGGCTGCAGGACGAAGCTCAAACCAGCCCAACCAGACCAGCTAGACCAGAGCCAGACTTGCTCTTTGTAAGCTTGGCGTCCCGCGGTGCGCTACACGCTACACGGCTAAGAACTGTATGTTGCATTATTTCATAATTTTTATTTGTCGTGCGGAATCCGCTTGTAGGAGGACATGCCCGACCTCAAAATAATCAATTACCACCCGGCGTTGCAGGTGAGAGCGAGGGCGGAAACCACTGGCCAGCGTGCAGGAGTTGCTCAGCAGATTGGCGGCACACACGGCCACTACCCAGCGGCACCCACCAACCGTACAGTCAACCCGCATACTAAGGATGGCAATTTTCCCAAGGGTATCCTTGCATCCTTGCCTCCTCGGTCCACCCTTTGCCACTGTCGTTGGCCGCGCCCCGCTCGAACAAGCTTCGAGATGGTCGTCCAAGGCCCGCGCATTCTTATCGCGCATCCTTATGATATGGTTCGACTGCAGCGAGTCCAGATTTATAGTGGCAAGCCGCGCGGAAGCATGTGAGACAGTCGTTCGAGTACGGTTGTGTCGCGTCGAGGCGGCGACGACCCCGCCGCGGGCGTTCATTGTTGAACGCAGCCGGTGGCCTGGAATCGGCCAGTATTGAACGATTTGCACAATGCAAAAATCAAACCCCTGCAAACGGGTCGTTAGTAAACGGGCTGGCAGCGAAGGGTGCGTTTTCATTTGTTTTTTTCGAACAACTGATTTGCTGCGCACAAGTGCGAGATAAACCCCCTCCGCGCAGAGTTCTGATGATGTATCTATTCTTTTGCCGTCCCAAGGTGTCACGCATATGTGCGAGGTAAATGCCCTGTCACCCCGTTATCGCTTTCAGAGGCCCCTTAGATACCGCCGCGTTTACTAACGCCCTTTTTGAAGGTGCTTGGGAAGAACGCCGATTGCGCCAGGCCCATCGGTCCACCAGATCCAGCATGCAGGGAAAGCCACTCGAGCGAGGTGGTTCGTGGATCTTCCAGGCGGGCACGCGGGCGCGCCGATCTCTGCACGCCACCGAGCACGCGTCCGTGGACTGCCCGCAGCCCGGAGTTTCGAACGAGCGTGCTAGCTCTGAGACCCCATGCGAACTCTCAGCAAGCCGAGACAATCAAGCCGTACAAACAAAGCACGCCGATGCAGCTTTTCGCCGGTATTGGGTTATCTGCCCGTCCCTTGCTTTATTCTGCTGAGCGAAATTGACTACTGACGTTGTGCATGCAGAGGGGTATGGGAGCATTGCTTCAACACGTGCGCAAGAAGTCCCTGCGGGTCTAGGCTACGCCGGAGTATCGGACTTCTCCTGGTGGGGTTCATTTAGTTGTGGACTTTTGGCAACGTTTGAAGCCCCGCGCGTTTTTCCGAAGTGAGGCCTGCAGGGGTAGGGTTTACTCATGGTTGCCTGCGAGCGCGCACCGTCCATGCCCGCCCACCTGCCCGTCGTCCCGACTGGCGGAACATCCAGTTTTCTAACAAAATGCAGTCGGTCGGTATGAGCATCGCCTCTGGAGGGGCAGACGGAGCGGGGAGCCGCTGGCGGATCCAGCCGCCGCCGGGTTCTCGTGCAGCTCTTCCTCCTCGTTCTGGGGGATCTGGCGACGAGCAGGGGCGCCAGACGTTCCCATTGTTCTTTGCCAGTAGTTCGACTTGCTCGACTTAAGCTCGACTTAAGCTCGACTCAAGTTCGATTAGTCGGTGGACGTT